TTTTTTTTTTTTTTTACATGAGAAGCAAGATCTTGGAAATAAAGTTGAGGAACCTTAATGTGTTTTTTTTGTGGAGGAAGGGGAAAAGACTCGCACAAAGCCAAATACAGGGAAAGTTAGGACTGCAATTCGCAAAAGATTGACTGACTCCCTGAGATGGTTACTCTGACTGCTAGGATGCTTCGGAATGGAGAGAAGCATGCACCTGGAACAGTTTGCACAGTTGAGTCCTAAATGAACTCTGGATGTTTAAAACATGCAGTACCGAGCCTCTCAAGTGGAGGCAGTAGTAAGACTGATGACAGTTCAGTGAATTCTTTTTCAGTTCAATAAATTTTTTTTTTTTCAAGCTCTCAAGTTCACTCTGGTTCATGAGTGGTGTGCTTGTATGTACAATTTCTAAGCTACTGTATTGAAGTGAGAGTGTCAAAAAGAGTAACTTGTTTTTATTTAAATACATTGTTTGAGGTAATAGTGATTAGTATTCTACAATTTTTGTGCCTATAAAATGATATTTATCATGGGACAGCACAGATGTAAGAGCCTTGCTTTGCATACTTATAGAATGGTATTCTAAAGAGTTACCAATCTAAACATACTTCTAAGGCAATAATTTGCAATCAATTCTTGTAAGCTCTCTTAAAGAGTCGGTATTCTCCTTTTTGTGTATCTCTTCCAGGAACTTGGAATGTTTGCTAATGTGTTTTTGTGCATTTTTACTGGAGTTTTACCTCTTATTTTATTTTTATGACAGTTATGTGAGGATCATGAAGTTCTCAGCTTTATTAAATACAAAGTGTTTGATCCAAAACGTAAGTGAACTTTGACTTGTTTGGGGAATTCCTTGAATTCCAGTTTTGATAAGAGCGTATACTGTCAGGAGACATTACTGATCCCCCTCCTTCCCTTTTTTATTTCTCATTGTGACAGCTTCTGCCAAAACGCTCTCTGGGCTGTTGGAATGGGAATGTAAGACAGATGCAGTGGAAGCTCTCACTGTACTTAATCACTACCAGATAAGAGTCCCAAGTAAGTCAGTTTTACTGATCTATCTCAATGGTACTCTTTCTTCTTAGTTTTTGAGTCAACCTACAGAATTCAAAATATGCTCCACAACTTTGAAGTTATGTAAAGATGGAAAAAAAAATTGGTTTGGGATAAAAAGAAGGCAGGCAGGAAAAGAATTAAAATCCACTGTCATCAACATCAAAGCTAACAGATAATGTCTTACTGAAGCTTTTTGTGTCTTTCACAATAAATGCACAGAAATCTACAATATCTTTAGGGCAGAAGATTCTTTAAGTTACGCAGCTTCCTGCTCTGAATTAGCTGCTTCTGCAACGGGTTCTCCTTCGAATCAGAAATTGTGAGGCCAAGCTGAGTTTAGCTCCAAACTAGTAAGAACGGAGGAGGAGTTCACCTGCTAAACAAGTCCACAATAGGCCAGATGTGCCCTGGACAATTCAGGTAGCTTACTGGGTTAAACGGAATTTTTCTAGTTGTTCACAGACATAACTTTGGATTGGGCCCTGTGTCTAATATTATTTTAAACTACCTTCTCCAAACCATTATGAATTTATCTCCCTGACAAATGTTAACAGTTTAAAGCTTTCTTATCCACTCCGCCCCCTGCCCCGCGCGTTTTGTCCATCTTCTCAGTAGTGGACTGAGATTACTTCAGGGGCAGAATATTTTTTTTTAACATATTATTGATAACATACTGTTCACAACTTCAGATTTATCTCAGTTTGGAGAGGTGATAACAACAGGTGATAACTCTTTCAACATGAAAAAAGGCAAACCCTAATGTATAATCAAATACAGCTATCCCAGGAAGATACAGTGTTTTGAAACGGGAACTGCTGTTTCAAACTTGCTGTAATAAGATTGTCTGAGGGTGTCTGAACCAGGAGGACATGTCTTCCGTTACCGGAGAGGCACATGTGTGCTGCCATCCGTGGGTCTGGGCAGCCTTTCTAAATAGAGGGGAGCTGTTTTCTGCTTTGCTTTCTGGAGAGGCCTGAAGGGTGTGCTGGACATGCTGCTGTTCTCGGTCAAACACATGTAAATACTGTCCAGTGCCACTCTGATAGAAATGCCACATTCTAAGTCTTGACTTCCTCAAATATCTATGCCTTTTATCTTTGATATTGCCTGATGAATACTTTTATAAATAGTTCAGCTAGGAAGAGGGGCAGCAATAATAGTGAAGTCTTTCTTGTGTACAGTACAATATTTGGAATTCTATCTGCAGTCCCTTCCCACCAGATCCATCCCTTTGTTTTACGTCTAAAAAATGCTGGTAGACTATCAATAACCCGGGTGTCTGCATGCCACTGGCGGGGGTAGGCAGGGAGGTAGGAGCCTTAAATCTACAGAACTGGTAAACTTGTCAGGTTATGCAAGGGGATCTTGATCAGCGGGAGAGCTACGCTCGGTAAAATGCCCTGAGTATGTTCTGTGTTGTCTCCTGACAGATGGCTCCAACCCTTACACCTTGAAGCTTTGCTTCTCTACTTCATCCCATTTATAGAGAAGACAGCATGTTAAGAGCTACGTTCACCTTGACTTGCAAGTTTAAAACTACACTTCGTTCAGAAAGCTCTGAAGTGGTTGTTCTAATGTTGCCTTGTTTCAACTTAATAATATCTTTTGTCTTATTTTATAATAAATTGATGTTCCTTCATAAATACCAACTAGATTTTTTCTTTTTGCCTCTGAGAAGTACATGTTGTAAGCTTACTACAAAGTCTGTATTTTGTTAGTGTAGTGTCTTCAAATGTCTAAAGAAGCACCAGTAGTAGAAACAAGATTGTTTTCTTCCAAAAATGAAACATATTTGCATTTTCAAGAATGTTAAAGATTAGCAAGTATTTTTTCCATTTGTAGTCTTAACTGGCAGATAGAACTATTACATCAGAATTTTAAATGTAGAACTTGTTTTTCAGTATGTGAAGTAGTGAAGTATGTTGCAATACTAAAAAGCTTGTATTTATAAAATGCTTTAATCAGGTTACTGTTGCACATACTGAATTTTTAGTAGTATGGACTTGATTTATAGCTCAAACAAAGCTAACAGACAATTATTAAGTATGTACATGTGTATGGTGGGAATTCATACTTATTTAAAGTGGTTTTGGTTTTCTAAAAAAAATTGTTTTCCATTTGCATTAGCATGATGCCATCTACAGCTAGTCCCACCGTAGGGGCCTTTTAAAAATTAAAATTGCAAGCCTGTTCCAATGTGTTCATCCTCATTTTCCATAATTTAAACTTAAATCTTTGGTGTTTAACATATCCTCCTGCCTTTTTTTAAAATTTTCTTTCAAATAGTGGTTATGACATACTGAATGGTGAAAGTTGAATATGTGAGAAGATTGATCGCAATAGAAACCAAGGTGGTAAAAATAGCTAAAACAAAAAGCAAGCCCCACCGTAGTGTCTCGTATCTGGACAGTTCATTCAATGGGGTTTTTTTGCCTGATTTCTCTGTTATGACCGTGTGAATAGTCTTGGCTAACCTCTCACTTAAACTGAGGTTATCTAGGTGGGATTCAGGTAATGTAACTAATTACATGATGTGAAATTAATGAGGTGAGAAATCTTGCACTTTGGGGAAAATGATTTGTTTTGTCTCAGTACTTTGAAACTTTCTCTCTTCTAGAACTGGAATTGCGTCTTGGGGTTTAACCCCCCAGAAATGGGAATCTAAGAGCTGTTGTCCTAGGCTCTGTGTTAGTTCTGCTCTTAGTGATCACAGAGAAGTTATTCTGTCAGTTGTTGCTTTTTCATACAAGTTCTTTGTTCTGTCTTTACAGATTTCATCCATATCCATCCTTTATGCGCGATTGTTTGTGCAGTATGCTTGTTCTGGAGAGATTATGTTTATGCAGTATGTTTCCAGACTGTGGGCATTGCACATGTCTTTCAATACAGACTGGATTTGCCCCGTTCCTAATTTCAAGACAAATGCACTTTATCATAAAGGGGGAATGTGTCAGCTGTCCTTCAGGTTTTCTCATCAGCAATGATTCATTTTTGCCCTGTCTACCTCCATTTTGTTCATGCTTCAGGTAATGAGAATTTCAGATATTCAAATCAGGCTTCTACTGTGTCTGAACTGAGGGATAGTTGCTCTGTGGCAGCTCTTTCTGCAGAGGGTTTGGAATAGTACTAGCCTGCTGTCTGGTGGGTGGCAAACTGACTTGCATTTTAGGGGCACTGCTAATACTCTTTCAGTCTCAGTGCTTTTTCCCCAGAAATTGCTTCCAGAGAACTCCCATGGAGAAGGCTATGTACCATATCTTCCTAGTTGCCAACAAAAACGCTGGATACTAGTGAAATGTTCTGCCTGGTGCTTTGACTGTAAAAGGTCTCTCCCAATCCTTCATTGATCTTCCATCAACTTGAATGTCCTGTGGAAACCTGTTGCTTTTGCCATCTCTTGCATTGGTATTCGTGTTAATGTTGTTTCAGAAGTCAAGTTGTTTGTAGTTGAGCGTTAAAAATAGTATGTTATCTGTTGGTCCAGTTTGGGATGTAGGGTGAGTGACCTGTAAAGCGTTCAGGTGAAAAGCACTTCAGTGTTCTCAGTGGATGGCAGCATTCAGTGCCTAAGATGTTCAGGTGAAAGGCATCTTTCCCGTGGCTGCCCAGATCAAACAGAGGACAGACTGGCTCCAGGTGGATCTGAGAGGACTCAATCCCAGCTGGAAGCCACAAATGCAAAATGAGTAGCCTGTGCCACGTGGGGAAGAAAAGGGAGGAGACTGAAAAATTGGTCAAGCTTCTTTGTCGTTAATCATCTTATTCATGTAAAAGTCGAGAACAGGAAAGATTCTTTGTTGGTGTTTTGCTGTAAAAAGAAAATAATGTCTTCTCGTGGGCCTACAAGGATGGATGGTTGTCCTCAGGGAGGAATGAGGTTGGTCTCCTCTGTCTACAAATGAGGTCTGTGTTCAACTAAAATCTTGCTCTTTAGAGTAGAACCAAAACAGTGGGACAGGTGGGGAATTAGTCGCTCCAAGGGGAATGAAGTTTGTCTGTCATTTGGCAGTGGTATTCCTATACTTGTTCGATTAAAATTTAACTATTAAGGTCTCTCAGTGCAGTTTTTTCTGTCTCTTTTGCATAAGCCATTTAAGCAAAATAGTGAATATTGCTGTGCACATTCCCTGCTTGGAAGTAGCTGGCATTCACACTCTTAATATCTTCGTATCTGTTCTACTGTTTGCCTTTTTTTTTTAAAAAAAAACAACTTATTTTTTCTAATTGCTCACCTTTCATTGGAGGTAAATGATATATTGAGGTGCAGATCTGTTCATCTTCTCTCATGATACTCTAATCCTGTTTTTCCTTATATGCAAGAAGTGGCAATAGTTGCTTTTTGACTTTCTATACCACCACAGCAAGATAGAGCGTATCGCGAGGGTGATATAAGATTTAAAAAAAAAAAAAAAAAAGAAAAATTCAGGAAATGTGTGGGTGTCCTGCTTTATGAAAGGAATGATACAACTACATGTGGTGTCACTAAGTCTGTCTTTTAGTAAGGGATAATGTTTGGGGTTAGCTGGCTTGTAACTGGCTGAAACCCTCTTTATTGTAATTAAATGCAACTTGCTCCTTCTCCTGCTGTGTGTTTTCTTGTGAATGGTGCTTGAACTTCTTTGACTATTATGATGGCTTAGCAGGAGACGTTCAGTCTCTTCTGTGAAATAATATGTCAAAGTCTGGGAACATGAACACTCACGCTTACTCTTTTTTTTTTTTACTTCTGGGATGTGTTTAAAAATCTTTGGGATTTTTTTTTTTTTGTGTGTGTGTGTCCTCTTTTGAAAATACCTTGTATTCTCACATCTGTACCTACTAGTAGGTGTTTTAGCCATTCTGAGTTTTGATGTCTACCCCATCTATTGGTTTATTCCCTTCTGGCAATTTCAGAGGTGGTAATAATCTCAAAAGAGAATCTTGTTTGCGTTGGCATGGCTCTGGCCAGAAATAATGTGCAAGAAGGCATGGGAAAATAAAATGCTAGTTGTGGGCTCAGCTTCCTGTGAATACTACTGAAAGCACAAAATACCATTGTTCTGATTTTGACCTTAGAGTAGCTGCAGCTGTGCTGTGCCTGAGAGCCTGCCACCTTACCCAGCTTGCGTTTAAAGGTAACTGGAAGAGTCCTGCTGTAAAACCTGCCTTGCAGCGGCTGTGTAGAGCAGTTGGCGTGGTTGATGCTATGACCAAGCAAGGCTCTGGCATGTTGTCCTGGAAGAGTCGATAGCAAAAATGTGTCAGCCTTAAGGAAACAAACTTTGCTGATTTGGGTCCCCTGGTAGCAACAGTCCCAAAGAAAGGGAAAACCGTAAAGGGAGCAGCACTCTGGTGTTCCTGCTCCTGCATGGGGTTGGACTAGATGATCTTTCGAGGTCCTTTCCAGTCTCTGACATTCTGTGATTCCGCAGAGTGTTCCCCATGTATTGGTTAGACGCTGTGGTGCTGTCCTGCATCATCAGTTGTGTTAGACTGGTGAGAAGGGAACTTGGGAAGAAGAGGCGACCACAGCTCGCTGGAGCTGCGTTTCTTTGCCAGACTGCGGGGCTGACAAGTGTGAGAGGTGGACACTAAACTGCAGCTGGACGAAGTGGTTTGATACACAGGATCTCACCTAAGACCATCCTATCTTAGAAATGAGGTCTTCTTCACTTCCTTCATTTCTTCTAGGTTGTGCTGGTTTTGTTTTCCATTGTTAAGACCACATGTTTTAAATTAATCTAGGCTCTTCCCTGCCTACCTTTGCTTCTGAGAGTGGACTGGAATGTGAAGACTTTTAATAGTATTCACCAGGGAAGACTGAGTTGAGAAATATTTGGTGTCACTCTTCATCTGTAAAACAAGGGATTTCTGTTTGGTGGGGTTTTTTTTCCCCTCACCTGTTAAACCTTGTGCATGCTCAGTGAATAGTAAGACAGCTGCATTGTTTAGATGGACATGTGTGGAGAGGGGTGCTCAAATGTGCCTGAGTGTGAAGTTTCTAGCATGCCATTCGGGTTCCTTACAAAAGCTGGTGGGGGCATAGTCTGAGGTGGAAATAAGCTGAAAAAAATAGCTGTTCAGGGTTTGGGATAACAAGGCTCCCAAGTTCTACTGCTAAAGCACCTGATTTTTTTTTTAAAGGGTGAAGAGCTTCCATTGCTAGACAGTTGTATCACCAAATTAAAAGAACAAAATGCCTGTGTCCCTTTAAGTCTCCTCATGCGTAATACTCTTACCCTGTTAAAAACAGAAGATTTCTTTCTCCGAGGATTGTAATTCCCACAGGATGTGGAGGAACCTAATACAGACAGATTACTTGTGCTGTGCTTTGGCCGTGTCCCTCTTAGGGAAATAACCTCAGTCCCTTTTCTTTGGTATCTGTCCTGTGCCAAGCCTTCCTGTCCCAGCCTTTCACAGCCAGCTCCCTGGGCTGGAGCCATGCATTAATTCAGATAGGTTCTCTGCTCTTCCTCTTGACTTGCTGCAGCTGCTGATGCAAGGTCGTAATTTCTGGCGTGATTGATTTAACTTTTTCCTTCTTTGGTGTTCATGGAGCAGCTGCAGACTGAGTGGGTCTTCGTGCAAGGGAATGAGTACTGCTCCAGGAATGTGCCAGGGAGCGAGCAGCTATTAAACATGCAAGATAATTAACCCTCTTTTCCAA